AAGCTCTTCACTTTTCACAGCATTACAATTACATTACAGCCATTTTGGCTGTACAGGGAGAGATCCCATCGCAGCACATGTTTGGTAACATGGTTAATTACTGCTCTTGCACCAGTCAAAAAATAGCATTAATTCGCATTGCTCTGCTGGTGTTCCTAAACCCAAAGCTGATTTTGGGTCTGTACAGGATTGATTGTTGCTGGTGCTTATGCACAGTGCAGATGGGTCGAGCCTCCTTTACAAGCATCAAGAGAGCCACTGCCAGCCGTGGGCATCTGTTAACTTTGCAGTCAGAAAGGAATGAGAGAGAGAACAAGAGACTGCCTACACATCTCCATTAGTGTTTATGCTTCAATCTGCCCCTCTGTCACTTATTGTGCCATTTTCTATCTGTCAAATTCTTATCTCCTGTCAATATGTAATTTTGTTCCTTCCTTCCATCTCTCTTATTTTTCTGTCTTCATCTCAACTTCACCATCTCAACCTTCGTCATCCTCTCTTTGTAATTTCCTTATTCCTTCCTTTTCATTCACTCACTTTTCATCTGAAGAGACGTTTATGCTGTAAATACTAACAGATATCTCAAATTAAATTTGTTGACTTAAGCTTAAATTATTTTGTTTTGTTTTTTTTACAAATTTGAAAGTAATAGTTCAGCCAACAATGAAAATTTGCTGAACATTTACTGAAGCAATCCAAGATGTAGATGAGTTAGTTTCTTCATCAAAACAGGTTTGGAGAAATCTCAAGTTTTTTCAGGTTTGGGGTGATTTCATCACTTGCTCACCAATGAATCATCTGCAGTGAATGGGTGCCATCAGAATGAGAGTTCAAACAGCTGATAAAAACATAACAGTAATCCACAAGAAATCCACATGTCTCCAGTCCATTAATTAACATCTTGTAATGCAAAAGGCTGTGTGAATGTAAGAAACAAATCCATCATTAAGGTATTTTAATCCATTGCTTCTGTGCGGTGGTGTTTTAAAATGAGGAGGAGGCAGTTTATATATATATAAAATAAAATATGTGTGTGTGTGTGTGTGTCCCTGTTACACTTTACACGTAATGTTGTCACATTTTCCTGGGTAAATAAATATGATATAAAAAAGAGAACAAATATAATTCGATTTTGTATTTTATTAATATTATTTTGTATTTTATTTAATATTTTTAATACTAATTATACATTTCATAGTGTGTTTATCCATTTTTATATAATAATAACTAAAGGCAGTAACAATTTGAACAATACTCTGGAAACAGTTTACAATAAGGTTTCATTAGTTAACATTAGTTAACTACTTTAGTTAACATGAAGAATAAACAACTTCTACAGCATTTATTAATCTTAGTTCATATTAATTTCAACATTTACTAATGCATTATTAAAATCAAAAGTTGTGTTTGCTAAAGGTCCCATGACATGCTGCTTTATGGATGCTTTTATATAGGCCTAAGTGGTCCCTAGTACTGTATCTGAAGTCTCTTTCCCGAAATTCAGCCTTGGTGCAGAATTTCAGCCACTACGAGCCAGTCCCACAATGAGCTTTCCTTAGTTCAAACAGCTGATAAAAACATCACAGTAATCCAAAAGTAATCCACGCAACTCCAGTCCATCAATTAATGTCTTGTAACGTGAGAAGTTGCGTGTTTGTAAGAAACAAATCCTCCAGTGAAGAAGTATATATATAATATATATATATATATATATATATATATATATAGTGTGTTTATCCATTTTTATATAATAATAACTAAAGGCAGTAACAATTTGAACAATACTCTGGAAACAGTTTACAATAAGGTTTCATTAGTTAACATTAGTTAACTACTTTAGTTAACATGAAGAATAAACAACTTCTACAGCATTTATTAATCTTAGTTCATATTAATTTCAACATTTACTAATGCATTATTAAAATCAAAAGTTGTGCTTGTTAACATTAGTTTATGCACTGTGAACTAACATGAACTAACAATGAACAACTGTAGGATTTAAATACTGTAATAAATGTTAATTGTTTGCTCATGTTAGTTAACTCATTAAATGACACCTTATTGTAAAATGTAACCAATATTTTTTGTGAACTGATGTTCAGCTGTTCTTTTTAATAGTCAACTTATTTTCAAGATGTAATCGAATGTAATTCAAGGGTAATCGTCATAAAAGCTCTGTAAACACTGCCACAGACACGAAGATATATCTTTCATTTAATCACGCTGAATGCTCGCTAAAAACTGACGCAGTCATCACGTTTTTATTTTGACGTGACACAAAGTAGTGGTATCTAAGCGGGAGAGTTGTTTACTTACTTTATAATTAATTAGTCAATAACGACATAATTTTCTTCATTCAGACCGAGAGCTCGCAGAAAACAAGAGGCGGGATTTGTCGCAGGAACCAATCGCATCCAATCATAACCGATCATATCCAATTATAGCGCGACGGAGGCATTGCCTCCTCTCACGTGACTTTCTCCCATTCATCTTCAATGAGCCTCAAGAAAAGTCACGGCACGCTAAGGGCCCTTTCTTAAGGGTCTCTGACGCTCTGTAGAAAGTCAATGGTCCATTGACAATGGACCGAAGGGAGGCAAGCCTCTGCTGTAACTTTACCTGCGGTTGTCGCTGTTTGACAGCGTTACTTTATAAAAACGAGTGACTTTTATACTTTTAATGCCATATTTAGTAATATTCGCGATTTATGTTTGTAATATCGATTATTTTCTCATCCAGTTTTTTGAGGAGACACTGCCTCCCTTGCCTCCTCGGAGGAAACGCCCCTGTATATATATTAATAAGCTTGGAATATTTGCAGGAAATTATGTATTGTTCAATTACCTTGAATATAATCAAAGGTACAATCTAAATGAATCACATCAAATAGTTTTGTATTCATAAAAATGATGGTGCAGTCAGCTTCAGCGATTAAGTAGTATTTTTGTAAAGCTGCAAAGACGTTATTTCCTGACTACAGTCTATGGCTATCATATTATTTATTATTAGGGTATTGTAAATTATGTTTATGCTATAAAATCTTTACATGTATTAATACTACTACACATTTAATAGACAAAATGAATACATTTTAAAATTAATATGAATATTTAATAGAAAAAGAATGAAAAGATTTAACCTACATTTACAAAACAAACATTTAACCTAATCAATAGGCAGTAATCTAGCTGAGATGCATAAGTATGTTTATTTATTTTGACAAGTATTAAATCTGTGTTTCATGAGCACAGCTAGAGATCAACACAGAAGATAAAAACGGTCAATTCCTAGTTAAATTTATGACAGGCTTTAGCCACCAGGAGGCACTTCACACATACTTGTTGTCAGACGTTTATCAAAGCTTTGTTGGCAACAGACAGACTTCATTATTCTCAACCAACCGGGAGAAGGATAATATGATTCTGCACAGATGATCCTTACCAAGAAATATAAATATTATAATATTTAATATTTTATTCCACACTAACTTTATTCCATGCAAGGTATGCCCTATACTTTCAAAATATATTTCATAAAGTTAATTAATCAGATTTTAAAAATAGTTAAAACTAGTAACTATTTAGACAGCGCCTAGAGATTTTGTTTAGTGTACAATTTAAATCTTAATTATCATAATCCATCAGTTGATGTGTTTTCCTTTCTTAGGAGCATTTTAAAGTTGCCATCAAGAGAAAATGTACAGTACATAACCAAAATCTGGATTTATCCTCGTACTAACCTCGGGACTGTTATATCCATCAAAAGTACAATGAGCACACATTAAACAATAATGTACTCATCTTCAGGCCATCCAAGATGTAGATGAGTTTGTTTCTTCATTGGAACGATTTGTAGAAATGTACTAATGGATCCTCTGCAGTGAATGGGTGCCGTCAGAATGAGAGTTCAAACAGCTGATAGAACTAGAATTGTTTTGGACAGTTTTTGTTTGTAAACAGCATGCTTGATCTGTGCATATTTCTTTCCTGATTCAGACAAGATAACTTTAGAGGGCCTGTATTTTAGCCAGAAGCAACGGCTTGAAGTTAAAAACGTCTGAATGATGGGTTTGTTTATGACAAACACAACACTTCAAAAGACATTCATTGATGGACTGGAGTCATACGGATTACTTGTGAATTATTGTGATGTTTTTATCAGCTGTTTGGACTCTTATTCTGATGGCACCCATTCACTGCAGGGGATCCATTGGTGAGCAAGTGATGTAAAGCTACATTTCTCCAAATCTATTCCGATGAAGAAACAAACTATTTAACATCTTGAATGGCCCGAGGGTGAGCAAATTTTCTGCAAATGTTCATTTTTGGCTGAACCAAAACCCCACAAAATCAAGTTTTGTCATTTGAAGTCCATGTATGTTAGCTTTGTTGTCATTTCATGAAGATACTAATATTAAGATACACATCTTTGAATTTGTAGACAAAAAAAAAAGTCATGCTATTGCATAATAGAAATGCCGCCTGTGCATAAGAAGTATTTGCTGCAGGTATCTGAGTTTAACTCTCTATTAGAATCAGAAACTAGCCTGTCAACATTTCTTATGCCTACGGCTTAAACTGAAACGAAAGCGAAAACATCTAGAGTGCCAATCAATGTGTCACTGCAAGTCGTTTCTGTAGCTTGTAGTAATACTCTGGGCTTTTTACAACACTGATCAAAGTGCAAACCAATTAAGTTGATGTAGTTAGGCACTGCCATGTGGTTTTGTTTGTGTGAGGCCATCAGACACTTCCTTTAGTTAATGTGTTCCACTGTAGTACAGATGAAATGAGACAGACGTGCAAGAAAGTTGAAAGTGTATACAGTTGGGTGAGAATGTGGGGGGGATGACTCACTTTAATCTGAGAAAGTGAACAAGTGAATTTTGGATCTCTCAGCAGGTGTCGCCCTAAAGTTTGCTCCAGCTTTATCACCTGAGTTACCGCACAGGTCTGGTTGGTAACCGTGGTGAATAATTGAGAGGGTAAGGCCAGACAAACTACACAGTGTTTCAGGAAGAGAGAGAGCTAGATAGAGAGAAAAGAACCTTTTCAAAAGTATTTAACTCCATAGTTTAAATTATTTAACTGTTGTTTTGCTAATAAGCTACACCCACACACATTTGCGAACACACTCAGTCATGGAGGGAAACGTGAATGAAGATGATGGGACTTTTACTAACATTTCACTAGCTGATGATTCAGGTAAGACTTGCCTTGTCTTGCTTTAAAGCTGATCTGAAACCAGTTTTCTTTGTCCGGTAACAATTCAGTAATAGAACTGGGAAATGTGTGAATAAAAGCACACATGTGCACATTAAGATGACAGCTATAATCTGGATGAGGGACTTTCAGAGTTATAATAGTTAGCTAAAACAAACCTTGTGCTATGCTGAAAATCATTGGTGTTTAAAAATTGCTTGTCTCTCATTATCCTATATTAACACCACATCTTGAATACAAACTTGTTTTCTTTCTGTTAGCACAGGTTTTGTTTTGCTTTTTGGAAGTGTTTGATAATTTTTTGATCATAGACCTCATTGATCTGAGCGTATGCACCTCAGTTTTTGTGTGAAAAAAGCAGTGTTTGTGGTAAATTTTGGCAAGAAAATGTTCACTCAAAAACTGAGGTGAATAAGCTCAGATCAATAAAGCCAATGATCAATCCAATACAAAAATAATACAAAACCTGTGCTAATTGAAAGAAAACAAGTTGATTTAAAGATTGATTCCAATATTAGTCCAATGCGATAACATCAACAGTATTTTAAGAAAAAATAAAATCTGCTCCGGATCAAAACAACCAGCTTTGTTTAAACTGGTAAGTATAAGTTGGCACAATAACTTTAGCATCAAATGCTTTAGTGCTGTGCAGCATGTGGTTTTCTTGTCCAAATACAGGAATGAATGGAGAGGTATTGTGTCAACACATGCCAGAAACCTCCATTAGAGGCAGTAGGTGTGTGCTTGTGTGCAGGGACTGCAGAGACCAGCTCACACATAAGCATGTGTGAATGTAGCTACTGCCAGAGCAGCAAGTAGAACAAAGGCTGCATATTTCAGAAAACTCACGTCTACTCAGATCTGTCATTTTTAAAGGTATAATCCACCTAAAAATGAAAAATTGGTAATTTACTCACCCGTCTGCTGTTTCCAAACCTGTATGAATTTATTTCTTTTGTAGAACAGGAAGGAAATGTTATACTGGAATATATCATAATACTGGAATTTTGATTTAGGTGACAGATTTCACCAAAGTATTTATAATTATTATTAGGCTACATTTATTTTATTTTTTTTATTTTTTTAATGAGGCCATATGACAGCAAAGTAGCATACTACGATATGAATGATTAAAAATGATTCTAATGAGAATAAATGTTTATTATGTTGCATAATGCATTCTGTTTTACATACTATTCTTTAAAAAATAGAAGGCCAGGCCATGTGCTGAAAGCAGTTGCTTTGTGCACAGCCTCATATTTTTAGAGAGCTTTGTCTACCTCTGTCGGTGCTGTTTGGTAGTGAGTGTATGTGAAAGAGACCGAAGCGATGAGGTAACGGATGGTCTGTATCATTACCTTGACATCGGCTTTGGAGGCTTGATAATTTTTGAACATCTTTAATAACCCGGAGAGATTTAGTCTTATATCAGGTAGGGCTGTGTAAATTTATCAGTGTGCTTTTGTGTGTTTAAGTTACTTAAGTTCTCCACTTACTTGATGTTTATTTCGTCTCTGCGTGTATCCAAGTTCATTTGTTGCTGATTATGTAAATTGAATTTTATTATCGGGGTCATTTAAAGCTGTTTCTAACAAGTATTTTAGCAGCCAGTCTGCAGCGGCCTGTAATGCATGATAACCAATGGAGACTGATGAGTTGGACGTGGCATGAATTAAAACTTCATAAAACCAAAGTTGTAATGTCATGTCTCGAGTACTAATAGCAACATAATTACGTTTTAAGCATGAAATGTAAACGACAGTGATCTCAGTTCTCTGTGAACTATATTTATTCATATCAGGCGATGGTTTGTTGTGTTAGCCAATAGCTAACTAACTTATATCTTGATGCGCTGGGATCTTGAAACGGCTTAGTTTGCACTGTATTTGTGTTGTACTCCAACGAATACCAAGCAATTACTTTTGTACATGGCCAATAACATCATTATATGTTTGTATTAAAAGCATATTTTATACCACATTGATAATATCTCTCACAGCTGACGGAGAACCGACAGTCCTGCGCTTCAGACTGGAGGACCAGTACAGCACCATGAATTGTGAGATTGATGGTAAATATCACCCACAATTTGGTATAATATTTAATATTGTGTTGTTAAAATGCGTGTTTCTTCAGTTTAAATAGCTTTGGTGCAATTTCAGATTTGTATGTGTGTCTTTTCAGGAGATATGGAGAATCAAGTTGAGCAAGAGGAAAAGACAAGACTCATAAACCAAGTGTTGGAGCTTCAGCACACACTTGAAGGTCTAATTTTTTCCCCTGCACCTTGCTCTAGTGGTTAACTGTTGCTGTTTTGTAAGTCAATGTATACCCTTCATGTTTCTGTTTCTCCGCTAACCATTCTCCTCTGATCCATTCAGGCACTCTAAATGGCTGCCGGAAAAAGCTAAGTGATGCACTGTGTTTTGTCTGTTTCCATTAGATCTCTCTGCGCGTGTGGACGCGGTGAAAGAGGAGAACCTTAAGCTCAAATCAGAGAACCAGGTTCTCGGGCAGTACATCGAGAACCTAATGTCCGCCTCCAGCGTGTTTCAGACCACTGATGCCAAAAGCAAACGGAAATAACGAGTGGATCACGTCTACATACTCCATCTCCTCTTTCCAGCATTCAGACTACGAGCTCATACATATAAGCCGCTGTTTTGTATTTATTTTGTTGTACAATTTACTGATACATCTCTCAGCATGGTTTGGGTAATACCATGGACTGAGCTGCAGACTTTCCGTGTCAGCTAACTGTGTTACAAGATATAAAAGGATGCATGATGCAGTTTGTGATCAGATAAGTACAGAGCTGGTGTAATACCACTCCTGTATAATTCATTTAGCAGGTACGTAACCAATCTCAAGACCGTCTCATTGGCTTCACAACCTTTTTAAATACTAGACAGCCAAAGTCTGGTTTTGAAGAGTTCTAAAAATACAGTTATGCTGAATTTCAGCGTTTTTGGCTTTCCACAACTAACATTTACAATGTAAAGCAAGCACAGCTTGAACATAGAAATGTTCTCTTGAAAATGCATGACGTGATATAAAAGGCTAGGGATGGATAACCTAAATTAGTCCTCACTCTTTTGGCATGTGATTTTTCTATTGGCAATTATCGCAATGACAGTTGCTCAGCTGGTGCAGAAAGTATGCAATTACAGTAATTTCCTGACCCATTGGTTTAAACGAAGTACCTCCTCAGTATGTTACATTATAAGAGGCATCTGACTCACCGAATGACATTTACTCACTTTCATACTTGGATTTATCTTAAAAGGTCTGACTAGTGTACAAACCCAAGGTCTTTTGAGCAGGATCAATAGATTGAAACCGGCTTGCAGTGTAAACTGCAGCATTGTGTCGGAGAGTTTGCTCTTCATGGTCGTGTCGTTTGGATTGCGGGACTTAAAATGGATGAAATAAATGGATTTGAGCTTTTACTGCTTTCAAAGACTGAAGTGAGGTTGAGTCTGCGGAGTGATATTGATCTGATTGCTCCAAAGTGTCTGCTTGAGCGGCATTTACGAGGACGGATTCTTTGCTCAGTTTGCTGATGTGAAATTTCACTTACTATGAATTATTGACATGACACTGAAGCATCTGCAACAACACTACATACTCAATCTGTTTAATATTATTTTTGTAAAAGATTTCAGTCATGTAATTTAGGTCTGCAAGCACCCAATGTAAAGTACTGCCTGTTCTAAAAGTGTACATTTTAGTTTGTTACAATTATGCCTTTAATAAAATACTTTGCACAAATGAGTAAGCCGTGTTCCTAGTTGAAGTCATGTCAACGGTACACAGGATGTTATAGTAAATATTTATTTCCAAGAGCAATGAACAGTTTGCAAACATGTAAACAAAAGGCTGTCCTTGTAAGGCTGAACATACAACCTAAAAAAGCAGAAAAACAAAACTGTTCATCACTCGAAAAACAACCTGTCTGCTTCCAAAGCTCAGTGGTTTCATACATGGTGGTCAGTCTGTTTTCAGAGTGCTTGTGTCTGGGTCTGCTGTTAAGAGTGTCGGTGATGATGCTGAGCTGAGATCAGCTCTGACTGTGTAACAACTTTCTTCGATGCTAAAAAAGCAATACTGATTTGCATTCCTAGCACTTCACTGACCTAGATGTTTGGTGAAGACAGCTCCTGGTTTGACGGAGCTCTTCTCCAGAGCCTGCTAACAGTGGTTATGACAGTAGAATGCAAGATTAAAAAGTCCTATTCCTAAACTCAACTGCATCATTTTTCAAACAAGATGCAAACAATAAATACGATCAGAGCAATTTGATCATGTTAGAAAGCTCATAACTTAAAAACTCACAAGGAACTGAACCCTTTTTAATAACTTAAACTGAAATGTGATTAAGTGAGAAAGTGATTAAACTAAATCAACTTTCTATAAAATATTCATTGTACATTTCCCTTCACAGTATTCAGACTTACTAGTAGGGAAACACTGGCCCAGTACTACTTGAATTCTAATCTAAAAAGAAAAAAAAAAAAAAAACTTGGAGTTAAAACTCAGCAGGTCTGACTTTTGTATCTAAATCCCAACGGTAACTGATAAGAACTAAGTGGAAGACTGAAAGAGGGTTGGCGAGGTACAGTCGGATGAAGGATGACCTCTTCAGGAGAGCGGTTAGATTTGCCGTTTTTTTGCATGCTAAATGGCATAATGCCGAAAGCATGCAGCAAAAAGGCAAAGGAATGAGAGAAGGGAGGAAGAAATGTGGGGAAAATGTGGATTTTCAGTCCTTCCGTATTCTTCTCTTTCTCACAGCTTTGGATTCTTCTCCTGTGCTCTGAATTCCTTCATCGGCGTCCTTCATCTGTAAAGACCCCAAATTGTCAGTCTAACAACTATCAGTGGATCTAGATAACCAATACAAACTGAAATCTTAGTCTAGCAAAAACATGGCACAATCACGTTTCTTTAAAATAGAATCAAACGCTGTGACCATTCATAATACTTCTAGCAGGTTATTTCTAACTGTATTATCAATGATTTCAGATTTACACATTTCTAAATGTCACCTAAAAACCTAAAAAACTATGATTGATCATTTTACATGTTGTTCGAACGGTCTCTTCTCTGTGATTTCCATGATGTGAAAAACTGACGGAATTGTGGAATCCATGAATTTACAGTATAATACTGAATGTCACAGAATTTAGTATAGTTTGGATGAATAAATCAAAGATGAGTGTGTGTGAATATTTAAGTGCAAAGAGACTGATTTAAATATTAAGTAAAAGAAAAACAGAATCCAGAAAAATGTAAACTGCAAAAATGTATTCTGGTAAAATAAAACTTTTTTTTTTTAATTATAAATAAATAAAATTACTCTAAATACTCTAAAAACAAACCATGTTTTTTATTAAACAGTGGTTTGCTAACTATGTTTAAGTATTTAAAAGGTCTGTCAATATTGGTGCAACACTGCAGTTTATGGTGCTGTAGTTATTTGGGGGAAGAGATTTGAAGTGCTTACACTTTTGGATACAAAATGTGAGAAAATATTTTAGTTAGAATTATTGTGTTCGCATTCTAATCTTCTTCATCTATTTAACACAAGTGTGCGCCAGCACTCGCTCATTGAAGCCTGTAAAGTTAAATGCAGACTCACTTGCTGTCAGGATAATCCTTTATGCAAAATGCAAGTACTTGTCCAAACTTGTAGAATTTACAGGTATAAAAACATAAGATGTATGTTCTGCACTAAGGAAAACAAATCTCAAACACATTAAACACCACACATATCTGGCAGTAGGGCGAGATGTGTTGGTTTATCATTTAGTTTGAAGCACTTAATATAAAACACGTCTCATGTTTAAGACAACTTGGATTGTGCACTTTTCCAGCAGCTCATTCTGTGTCTGCAACATCAACGTATAGCAATATAAACTATACTGTCACTCCCCTACTGGCTAAGGAAGAATAAAAGTCAATGTGAACTTGCTTACTTCATCCTCTGAGGGACTGTCATTTGGCTTACTGGCCTCGTCCTCATCCTCTGTATCTCCTCCATCTTTTTCAATGTCCTTGTCCATCCCCTCCCCATTCTCATTACCTGAAAAGGGAGTCACAAAAGAAGGAAATTATGTATAACAACTACACTGGAAAAAAAAAAAAAAAGTACTTAAATAGCAAACAAGGATACATCATTTTACAAACCAGTAGGTTCAGTATCTTCCTCTGCTTTAGCTTCATCTTCCCCTTTCTCCGCCTCCTCTTCCTCCTCCTCCTCTTCTTCTTCTTCTTCTTCTGCTACCTCCTCTGGTTCGGCTTTGGGTTCATCGATTTTCTTGTATACATAGTCATCATCTGACTTCTGCAATACATATACAAGTGTGTGAGCTGAGGATATTCGAGAAGCAGGTGGCCATGTTCACCTGACCATGACAGGCACCAGCACTTTGCTCACAACTGAAGAAGCAGGAGGACACCATCCTGTTCATATCTGGTGACAAACCTGTAGAACGCTTCAGGGCAGACTGCTGATAGTCTGTTGCTATGCTACCAATAATAAATACTCATTAAGAGGATTTTGTACTTGCAAGCTAATCCTAAACACCCTAATCTTTAGCAATATATAAAATGGGGTTAGCATGGTAAACCAGATTTATCAACTGTGTTATGCTCAGAAAACGGCTAGCTGTAATGGGGTCTGCTTGTGTGGATCTCATCACAGCAAACCCACAACACAACAAATACTGCATTTGAGTCGGGATTCTCAGAATGACCAGTTGAGTTTGAGTATGACACGGTCAAGGCCATACGCAGGGTTTCAGAAATATCGAGGTCCAAAAACACAGCTTGCTTGGGGAGTTCGGGGGCATATAGCCCCTGGAAAAATGTTGATTTTATTTTAAGATGTCTGGAGGGCAAAAATTCGGATAACAGTAGCAGTAAAACCATGCCAGTCATTTCCATTATTATCTGCATTAGTGGAACAAAAAAATAAAAATACACATGGTCATGAAAAATAATTTAAATGATAACAGAATTTTCATTTTTAGGTGAACTATCCTTTTAAATTAAGAGCGCAGACCAGCCATAAACATATCAGTATACTGTACAAAGGCTGTAGACATAGCCACTTTTTCCCTTAATAGGCTAAATGTGACCCTGGACCACAAAACCAGTCATAAGTGTAAATTTTTCGAAATTGAGATTTATACATCATCTGAAAGCTGAATAAATAAGCTTTCCATTGATGTATGGTTTGTTAGCATAGGACAATATTTGGCCGAGATACACCTATTTGAAAATCTGGAATCTGAGGGTGCAAAAAAATCAAAATACTGAGGAAATTGCCTTTAAAGTTGTCCAAATGAAGTTCTTAGCAATGCATATTACTAATCAAAAATTACGTTTTGATATATTTACAGTCTGCTCAGTCCGATAATAAGTGAATTTACAGAAAGGCTATCAGGAAACTGTAACTAAGTTCATTAAATTCATGCACAATATGCACAAGAATTTTATCTTATGCTTAATATGCTGAAACTGTGCTGGTTGTGTTGTTCCATTTCTGGATATTACTGTTGGTCGATTAAAACTTTTAACGTAACACAGGTGTCATATTAAATATTTACATACTTATATCTTACATCTCACTTTTTGACCAAAGCATCATGCAAGAATTTAAAACTCTGTTTCTGTAAAAATGAACAGTAATGCCTGCATTCAAGCACTGTTATACCGCTCTGTGTTATCTTGGCCTTGTACAATATATTTGCAGCACCAAAGTACAGCTATTATTAGGTAATTATTTCCGGACCTCTGGGACCTCAATGGTGGGTACAGCCATGAACACAGTACCTCTTTTCTAAAGCCTTATAATAAAACTGAATAATTTCCATCTTGGATGCTGATTGGTCGATACAGCATTTCATCCCTTTGTGAAAATAACAGACAAAATAGCCAAAGCTGTGACACAAAATGCCTTGCTTTAAAAAATTGGACTGAATTTCCAGTTCAGGAAGTACCAGTTCTTGCCAGGCAGCAAATGAAATGAAATAAAACAAAAAACCAAACCAAACCAAAGGTTTTTAGGAAAGCTTAGGATTTCTTTAAACCAGGGCCCGTATTCACAAAACATTTTATCTTACCACTAAGAGTTCTCCTGAATAGCAGTAAAAGTTTTTAGCTAAGAGTTTTCTCTTAAAACCTATTCACAAAGCTGCTGAGACAAACTTTTACTAAGGAATAGAGAGAAGTCTTAAGCTAAGAGTAAGGGCGGGGTTGACCTCGTTGCTATGGATGATGTCAGCGTGCTTACTAACTATGCACACAGTGATTGGCTGATAGGGGAGGGGTCTCTGACAGAGATTTATTCATAGAAATATTGTAGAGCACGATGTTGCCATATATAAAGGTTTAAAAATAAAAATGTTGCCACATTCAAATAAAGATTTTAAAATGCAGACTAAGAGTCACTAATTAAACAAGTAGGCCTATATGTTCAGCTAATTGTCAGCCTCTTACATGTATGCTTCTAATAAAGAATGAGTGAATATGCATATAAACAGCCTTTTAATTAACAGAGTAGAATAATCAAGGCAGATAGTAATACATGCAAATGTAAAAAAATAAAATAAAAAAAATAATTTAAAAAACTGGATGCAAGCTGTTACTTCTCGCCCAACTGGTTAATGAAAACAAGGCTATAATCAAAGGACAATTTAGAGTTGGGATAACCTCCAAAACCAAAGGCGATACCTTTTTAAAAGGTCATTATCATCAAATGTTTCTAAAATGTTTACATTCAGAGGCAGATTGCTGGCAACAGCCATTTTAGCATAGTTTGTGGTTTGATCTTAGTAACTTAAGAGTCTTTAAGAGAACCTTTCACAGATTTAGGAGCTAGTTTTAGAGCTAAAACGCTTTGTGAAATACTCTTAGAACAAAAATGTAGGAGTCCTAATCTATTATTTTTAAGATTTTCTCCTAAATCGGCGAGTTATGAGCTACTTTTAGCCTTAAGATGTTTTGTGAATACGGGCCCAG